TTTTGATTTAAAAAAAAAAAAAAAAAAAAAGTAAAATGTCACTGTTTCAAAGATTAAATGATGGTGACACGTGGGCCAATAAGGAAGCTCCAAATGTCCTTTAAAGTTGTTGGCAGATTTGAACATTAACTATCAAAAGATGGTCACGTTCCAATATTAATGTCCTTTAATAATTTATAAGGTACAAAGAAATATATGGTTTTAAAATTTTTATGGTGGCTTGTGTATGAACCAATATTTGACAGATCGTGGTTGATGGGTTTGTGTCGTTGGATGAAAAGAGAGAAGTATCTTAGATTTATATCTAATGATTATTAGGAGACATGTATAATCCAAATCTAAAAATGACTGATGATTATACATGTGATTTTTTAAATTTTAAAACTTAATATAAATTAAGTTTAAATTATCATAACTAAAAGTGTTAATTTAAAAAACGTAATAAATAAATAAAATATCATATCCAATATAGTATTATCTTAGTTTCTAATTTTGGAAGATGTTTTTTTCCACATCTTATCTTGCCACAATTGACGATAACCACTTTTGACATTTTTGTTGTCGTCATTGCCACTATCACTATTACTGATTATCACCTATATCTACCATTAGAGACCATTGATCTCATCTCACTATTGCACTTACTAACCACTAGTGATACTCGACGGTCGATCATAATATTTTAAATACAAATCTGAACATTAATATAAATAAATTTTTAAATAATTGTCTCTAAAATTTATAAATATATCAAATAAAACAAAATTTATTATAAAACACTAGAAAATGGGTATTTGAGTTTTAAATCGTTTTTATAAACCATGTTTATAAAAAATACAATTTTTTTTTTTGTTGCAAATAATCCAAATGGGTCTAATATTGTTAAAATTTCTATGTAGGTCATGCATTTTGTAACTTATTAAAGTATCTAAGATCAACTGTGCATTTGATGGTAAATATTTGGTTTTAAAATGTTGACGTCTCATAGATCTAGACCTTAGACTGGGAACGGTGCTCTTGGGTATAGGATAGCAAAACTTCGACTCCTGACTAGAAATAAATAAATAAAGCACTTGTCACAAATTAAAAAATATTTTAATGAGTTAGACTACTCATCTTTAAAAAAAAATGATTTTTCTCAATCTTTAAATAAATTTTGAAAATGTACCATAAATTCAGACAATGACAATTCATCCAACCTTAAAATTCTAATTTGTCAGTCCATAAAATTTTTTATGGTATATTTTAAAATACTTTTTAATTATATCAGGATATTTAGTTTAATAAATAAATAAATAAAATATAAAATATATTTTTTGTTATTATTATATATTTTTTTTTGGAATGGGAGGCTTTTGAATCTAAATATCTAACTTTTTGCACCGAAAATTTATATAAATATGGTATGTATAAGAAAAATTATAATTAATTCGATAGAAATTAAAGTTTTGAGATGCCTTACAACAAAATAACATTTATTATTGTCATAAATTCGTAGATATAAATGAACTATGAACGTATATTATGATATGTTATTTGACTTTATTTTTTAATTATATTAATGAAGTTTATAAAATGAGTTGGATTAAATTTTCAACTTTTTAAAAAATCCTACACAGTTTTCTATGATCAAATGACTCTTTAGCATTTTTAAAGTATTCATATATGACCTTCATAATTGGGCGTGAATTGCGATTATTGATCAATTACGAGTGATTATGGGTAACTTTATTTTATTCTTTTTTTTTTATTTCAATAATGTAAATGGAAAATTTGAATTTAATTATAATATTAGAATAGATATTACATATTTTATATCATTATTTGATTGGATTTAAAAAAATTATGTTATAATTAGTTTGCAGTTGACTTTTTTTCAATAAATTGCTTTATCTATTAGCTTTTGTATTAAAATATTAAAATATTTATATAATGTCCCACATAAAAAAAATTATTACCATCGTTTTACCAATTTCAATAAAAATAAAATTGGAATGACTAAAATTAAAATTTACTTACCAAAAAGTATGGGCCCAAATGATATATTGGGCCTATTGGATCCAATAGCCAATTGGGCCAGCTTGCAGCCGAAGGAAGGTCCATTAATTCCCAGCAACAAGACGGCTACCAAAATCGACCGAGTCAAAGCCACATCCACTGACGGTCAAAATTGACACGTCAAATAGCCTAGCCATTTGTCAACTTTTGATTGGATACACTGTCGAACACAAATAAATTATAAGGGAAGAAAAATCCCCAACAGCATGAATCTGGACGTCCATCTGTGTGTAAACATATTAATCTATAATGCCAAAAATTGATTCCATTATTTTACACGTGGCAGTGATGGATTAGAAATTTAGTTTTGACCAATCCTTAAAAAATGTTTAATTTATCTGAATGCAAAATACAATAAAATTATAATAAAATTTCAACTCGATTAATTACTGAAAATTTGTAGTGTAAATATATTTATTTAAAGGATTGCTTTTTAAATTCAGTATTCAAGATGGGATTTTAATTTAATTAATATTATTCCTTTGTTTAAATAGAAACTATATATTATTTTTAATTTTTTTTGCCCATTTTTGACATTGGCCGTTTACTCTTTTAGCCCTGCTTTGACTTCATGACGTGGGGCATGACGTGGCAAGGCTGGTGGTTCTTTATTTCCAGAAGGACGCCATTTTTTCGGACGAACAAGTATTTATATTGGAAGCCGCCGGATGCAGGTCCCATTTCCAGTTGGCCAATGAGGAATTGCCACGTGGAATATTCCATTTACACTGCTTTTTTGTTCTGTGTCGTGTCGAAAATTGAATACCTATAATGCTCAATATAGTCATAATTCAATATTGACCGTAAATTTTAATATTATAAGTATTTTATTTATCAATTATATTTGAACAGGCCAACTTAGTTAATTCAAGAAAATAATTTATTTAATTAAAAAAGAAAAAGGTTCAACGAATAAATTGTTGTATTACATAGGTTAAAAAAAAAAGAAATTTATTGTATTAAATAAAGGAATTAGAGATAATCTTTGTCTAAAAAAGGCACCATTTATTTGGCTTTAAATATGTGACGAATCGCGCTCAAGCGATTCATTTCGCTTTCATTTTTCGCGTCTCTTTTGGAAAACACAAGCAAGGAAGCTCTGCAATCACTAACCATGGCGGAGAAAAGTTTCAAGTACGTGATCGTCGGCGGTGGTGTCTCAGCTGTAAGTTTCTCGTCTTCCACCATCGATCGTCTGATCTGATTTCTTTTGGCAGTAATTTCCTGTTTCAAATTGTTTCACGCGGTTCTTGAGTTTGACTTAGATTTCTTTTGTGCTTTTAATTTTTATTGTATTGTTGGAAATGAAATCTGAGGCGTTTAGGCTTTGCTTGAATTGGAATTGATCTTTTGATGCTTTTGTAACTTCAGTTTGTAGCAATGTTGCGATCGTGATCTATTCCTGTTTTTTGCTATTTCTTTTTCTTGTCTGGTTGAAAATTACACTAAAGATCGGAGTCTTTTTTATTCTCCGTGTTCTTTTGATTTTGAACGTACTCGTTCTGTCATGGCTCAGGGAGCAAATGGTAGAGATCTTTTTGATTGCTCTGTTTGTCAACAGAGAAGCTAGATTCCTGGAGGAATGTTTGAAAGCTATGGGAAATTTACGTTTTTCACCTGTAATTAATTGAGTGAGTTAGTTTTTGACATACAACTGAATGAACTTATTCTCCTCCTAGTTTAACAAGCTGAAATGAAGCTTGAGATCTCTTTTCAATTTAACTGTCATTATGAGATATGAAAAAATATAAGAAAAATAAACCAATATTTATACAAATTTACTCAACTTTTGAGATACTTTTATCATTTTGTAAATTTTTTGTGATTCATT